CCTTAGACTACGGTGTAGAGTGAGTCCCAATGTTTCAAACTTAAATCTTGATATCTTTTCTCAGTTTGTGGGTGTTTGTTACTAGTTGATTATGAAATTCTTTACGAGATATTTGTGCCATTTATTTGAAGCAGCTTTAATCCATTACTGGTCTATGGATTTTAGATGCCAAGTTGTGAAATTCAGATTTCAACTACACTTTAGCTGTAGATTGGGTTGATAATAATTGATTACCTTACAGAAGTAAAACTGCAAATTGAGATCATTTTCAACTAGTCATAAAAATTTTGAAGCATAACTGGTGATATTAGTAATATATTATAAGTCCGGAGTAAGGGATCATTAATCTCCATTTGTTCTTAAGTTCTGTTCCTCTATGTTAGTGTGAATATGTTCAAATTGTTGAGTTAATGGTCTCTTTTGTGATTCAGTAAGGGTTATAAATTTCTGTTGTAATCACCAAAAAAAGGTGATAAAATTGGCAGTGTAGAAAAGTAGAATTTTGTAGAGATAACATTGTGTTTGTGTTGCTGTAAAGTCATATCTGAGTCCAGCTCTGGCTCTAGAAATCATGCTACTGAGATGTGATATCATCTTAGATTGTGCATTTATCTGCCAAGAGAAGAACCAGCCGTGGCGTGCGATGAAAAACAGAAGTTCAGGGCAAATTGGGTTAACATTTGAAAGCACTCCATACCCTGCAACAGTCACCATCTCAAAGTCAAGTTCTTGAATGGTTAATTAGGTTCAAAGAGTTAGGTTTCTTTATCAAAAACATTGATCCTTTACATGAATCTCTCTTGATACCAGGAAAACTGAAAACAGAACAAGAACATACTACACATTAGACCTCAATCAACTACTTTTCTTCCCAGTGATATTTGAAACCAAATCCTTTAGGAACTTTGCTGATTTGGTGATAGGAGAATCCATAGCCATCAAGTTATACAGAACAAGCTCAACTTCTTCCATCGATGGTCGAGCTTTGAATTGTGAGACCACTTTCAAAGCTCCATTACCTTCTTCTTCTTCAACGAGAACGTTCCATCTCTCTCCACTCACAACACTATCTCTCACACACTTAAAAATCACTCCTTTTCTCTTACTCAACACTCCTCTCACTTCTAAACCCGTAAACGCGTAAATCACTTCAAAAGAACCGATAAATCCGTTGAATTCATCTCCAAAGCTTTTCTCTTCTTCGAACAACCATCTCGGATTGATCATAACCACAGGCTTTGTGCCAAAAGCTTCAGTCGCCGTCCTCACATCCTCTAACTTCGATCTCTCCGGAGACATGAAAACCGCCACGTCAGCAGATCTCAGAGCTCTGTTAACAGAGTCTGAAACCGGAGACATGGCAATGTGGTTGGTGGTGGTATTGTCGGAAAGGAAAGCTTTAACTGCGGTTTCGACGAACGAAGGGTCAGGCCAGAGGAAGAGAAGCTTGACATTAGAGCCTCTTCTCGAGATGGGTAAGTCGTTGAAGATCGAAGAAGCGAGCTGAGAGAGAGAGGAAGGAGAATCGTCGTCGAGGATTGGGATTTCGAGACGAAACCGAGGCTGTTTGAGTTTCTTGAGTTTTGGGGAAGCGAGTTTTGGGTTGTTTAGGGGTTTGATTAGACAAGAAGAGAGACAAGTCTTGGCTTGAAGAATGGCTTCTTCTTT